GTCTCCTTTCGGGGGATTTATGGTGAATTGACACCACCGAGCTCTAGGGTTCGAAGACCTGCGCCTACCGCTATTTCTTTGCGCTTGCGGCCGCTATTGTAGCGGGTTGCGGCGCCGCTAATTCTCTGCGTCTGGTTTCGGGCAGGCGCTTCTCTGGCTGGTCGGCCTTAAGACACCCTGCCACCTCCCGGGTGGTGCTCTTCTTATCTCATTTGCGCTGCGTGGCCTCCGAACAGCGATCGACGACTTTGGGGTGTAGCGGAACCTCGATGGTTTCCTCTCCTTATCCCGATGCACCGTTTTCGTGAGGTGGGTTGCCCTCTGGGGAGTTTTGGCGTTTGAGCCCAAAGGGTCTTGGTTGGGGGGGCGGTCGTCCTTTAGTGGTTTACTTAGTAACCAGGCTGCGTAGCGTACGTGTTTGTAGATAGCAAGCGGGCTGCCATCGAGCACTGCTATATAAATTGTTGATCAAAAAAAAAAAAATGGGGCAGAGGAGGGAGCAGGCCAAAGCATCGGACGACCCAATGGTCCACCTGGCGTGGTCTGTGGAGAAGATGCGCCGGCAGCAACAGTCGACAAGCCGGGCGGTCCTCGAGCAACTCGAGGTGACCAACCGGCTCTTGACTCGGTTCGTCACAGCCTATGAAAAGGCCCACGCGGAGAAGAAGGAGGAAGACAAGGAAAGGGAGCAGTAATAGGTGACAAGGAATGGCTACGAAAAAGTACATAATTATATATAGAAATTTTTTGTGTTGACTTGAAAATTTTATGACTTGAATTTTCTTGAAACAAAGGGTTGAACGGAAGTGAACGGCACAAAACGGAAGTGAACGGAAGATAAACGGAAGAGATATAAACTTAGAAATAGAGAAGTGCAGATGGGTCGAACGAGTGAAAAACAGAAGAGGACGGAGGTCAAACCGGCAAAGGGCCTGGCTTGTTGGGATATGCCTCGTGGAATTCTTGGACTAGTTCTTGAGCGTTCGGGAGTTCATCGGCTGGCTGCCAGGAGAACTCCTCATCCGTGTTCTCATAACCATACCATCGAACATAGTAGAGGAGCTTGCACTTGCGTCGTCGATCGATCTTAGAATCGACTATCTCGGCGACCTCGTACTCGAGTTCACCTTCAATTTCGACGGGTGCTGGCGGCTCAACGGCACGGCTCGGAATAGTACTCGGCTTGAACGGCTCGAGCATCGAGACATGGAACACTGGATGGACTAGTCGCATAGACTGGGGAAGGCGGAGGGTGAAGGAGTGAGATCCTACTTGGGCTATGATCTCGTATGGGCCGAGGAACTTTTGGTCTTCTTGGATGGACGGGTGGTTCAGAAGAATTGAGCTTTGACAAAAACTTGATCGCTGACCTTGAAGTTCGGAGCCGGAAGACGTCGGTTGTTGGCTGCCTTTTGGTGAATTCCCTTAAGGAACTTGTGGAGTTCTCCTAGGTCAACAGTGAACTCTCGAGCACGGCTAGAGGCAATGTCGCAGTTCCGGATGCACGGCTAAGTTCGGATGATAACCCTTGTTGGCGAAGAAGGGCGATACGCCAGTGGCATCGTGTGGAGCGTTGTTGTAGGCGAATTCGGCAAGCGGAAGGAGAGTGACCCAATTGTCTTGTTGGTAGTTGCAGTAGGTTCG